GAAAGATAAATACTTCTAGAAGGTAATTCAGCTCACCTGAGATTTGGGTCAGCCCTGATAGTGCTGCCTTGCCTTAACTGTAAAGGGAAACTGGAATCTGGCTCCCCTGGGAACTGTCCAAAGCTCAGAGTGAACTGATTTCTGTCATTCTGAAAGGTTTTACACCAGCCCTGTCCAAACTGAGGTCTTGTATTTGCTGGAGAATTGTCCCTGGACTCTATTTCCAGGTTCATTTTGCTGGACAGACAGTGGAGGTGACTGGGAGGTGGTTAAACCAACCCCACTGAACTCTTACCCAAAGAAAAACTGGGAGGCAGTTTGTTATCAGTGTACTGATATCAGTGTACAAATACTGGACATTAAACAGCTCTTTGTCAGTGAAAGTCATAACAAAGTTAAATGTTTTAATGAAACCGAGAGACACTATTAGTCTCAAAGCTTCTTTCCCAGTACAAGGCTCTGTACCACTGCCACGGGAGGGAATGTAACTGGGCTGTAATGGGTGTGTGCTTCTGTCATTGGGTTCATCTGCTGTGGGCCAAATGTAGCAAGAGTCAGGGCCAAGTGGTGCTTCTGCATGTGTTCCTAATATTATCTTAGAGGAGGCTGTAAATAAAACCATTGCCTCACAGTGCTGGGGTTGTCTCCCACAAGCACTGGGGCCTCCTCTGTTTGCAGCTATATGTTGCTGCAGATGTGAATTAATCATTGCATCCCTTCCTGCCAAAGTTCCAGCTGGGGAGCCTTTCAGTTCAAAGTCCTCAGCTCCTATCAGGCTGCAGCTTCTCACACCAGGAGAAAATATGATGTCTTTAAAAGTTTAATACTGCTTTGAAAACATCCCATGCTTAAGCATCCCCTGACCCACTTAAGGGGAAGATGAGCTCACTACTTACTGCTCTGCATGGAGCGACAGTTTACTAGAGAAACCTCTCAGGGTTCCTTTCAAAGCACAGTGGTTGTGTTGGAAAGGAGAGGGAGTTGTAAAACTGGTATTTATTAGCATTTCTTTCAGGTATCTCCAAAACTAACAAAGATACTTCTGAAGATGGAAAATGTTGTAGGATCTTGTTTCTTTCCTGGCATAAACCTCAATAAACCCAAAGTGGGTAAAGGCAGTTATAAGCCTGTATTTTAGCTTAGTCCTTGAAATAGGAAGCTCTTAAAATAGAATGAGTTTCCATTTGTGATAAGAGACCAGGAGATAAAAATGGCAAACCTTAAAGGATT